GCAAATTACGAAAGTCAACAACCACGACAATGTACTAAAAGTATCAAATTCAACGGGCCAGATTTAATTAACGAGGCAGCGAGCATCTATTGAGTTAAAGACATAAGATTTTTTTAAACTTCCCGCTATTTATAATCATACAAAGAAAAGTTCATTGTCTTCGCTGAACTAAACGTGGCGCGCTAACTTTAAACATTTTGAGTGAAAGCCATAGGCATAGACCATATATAAAATGCGTAAAATTCAACGGGCCGGATTTAATTAACGTGCTACGACGGTACTTAATGAGTATGAGTGGGCAGAATTTCTAATCTCCCGCCACGATTACATACATACAAAGTTTACTGTCTACATGTACACCAAACTAAACGTGGCCCGCTCACTTTACAAAAGGATTACGATAGTCAATAACTAAGACTTAATTCTAAACGGGTAAAATTCAACGGGTCGGATTTAATTAACGTGGCACGACGGTACTTAATGAGTAAAAGAGGGCAGAATGTTATATCACCCGCCGAGTTTACATACATACAAAGTTTATTGTTTGTACCAAACTAAACATGGCCCGCTAGCTTTAAAGACGGATTGCGATAGTCAAAAACCAAGGCTATATTCTTAAAGTATCAAATTCAACGGGCCGGATTTAAAAAACAAGGCACGAGGGTACTTAATGAGTATGAGAGGGCAGAATTTTAAATCTCATGCCACGATTACATACATACAAAGTTAATTGTCTGCACCAAACTAAACGTGCCCCGCTAACTTTAAAGGAGTATTACGATAGCAAACAACTAAGATTAATACTTAACCGGTAAAATTTAACGGGTAGGACTTATAAATATAATAAATGAACGAGGCAAGACGGAGTATGAGAGGATAGAATTTCAAATCTCCCGCCGCGTTTGCATACATGCAAGGCTCACTGTCTACACAAAACTATTGCCGACCAGTTAAACTAAACGTGGCCCGCTAACTTTATAGACGTATGACGATAGTAAACAACTAAGGCTTTATACTAAACCAGTAAAATTCAACGAGCCATATTTAATCAACGAGGCACTACCGTACTTAAGGAGTATGAAGGAGCAGGATTAAGTACCGTCGTGCCTCCTTAATTAAATCCGGCCCGGTGAATTTTACACATTTAGTATAAAGTCTTAGTTGTTTACTATCGTAATCTGACTTTAAAGTTAGCGGGCCACGTTTAGTTTGGCTAGCCGGCAATAGTTTGGTGTAGACAGTGAATCGTGGTGGGAGATTTGAATTTATGCCCTCTCTTCCTCATTAAGTACCGTCGTGCCTCCTTAATTAAATCCGGCCCGTTGAATTTTACACATTTAGTATAAAGTCTTAGTTGATGACTATCTTAATCTGACTTTAAAGTTAGCGGGCCACGTTTAGTTTGGCTAGCCGGCATTTAGTTTGGTGTAGACAGTGAATCGTGGCGGGAGATTTGAATTTATGCCCTCTCTTCCTCATTAAGTACCGTCCTGTCTCCCTTATTAAATCCGGCCCGGTGAATTTTACACATTTATTATAAAGTCTTAGTTGTTCACTATCGTAATCTGACTTCAAAGTTAGCGGGCCACGTTTAGTTTGGCTAGCCGGCAATAGTTTGGTGTAGACAGTGAATCGTGGCGGGAGATTTTGAAAATTCTGCCCTCTCATACTCATTAGGTACCGTCGTGCCTCCTTAGTTAAATCCGGCCCGGTGAATTTTACACATTTAGTATAAAGTTTTAGTTGTTCAATATCGTAATCTGACTTGAAAGTTAGCGGGCCACGTTTAGTTTGGCTAGCCGGCATTAGTTTGGTGTAGACATTGAATCGTGGCGGGAGATTTGAAATTCTGCCCTCTCTTCCTCATTAAGTACCGTCCTGCCTCCTTAATTAAATCCGGCCCGGTGAATTTTACACATTTAGTATAAAGTCTTAGTTGTTGACTATCGTAATCTGACTTCAAAGTTAGCGGGCCACGTTTAGTTTGGCTACCCGGCATTTAATAGTTTGGTGTGGACAGTGAATCGTG